AATTTTTTTACTTAATTTTTTAATAGATGTATTTATATTTTTTATTAATTATCTTTAAATTTTTACTAAATGTTTATAACAATCTGTTCTTATTCCTGTAAATGCATAAAGTAACAATAAATCAGATTATATTAACTCTAGTACAAAAAATTTAAATAGAACAACAAGATTAATTATAAACAAATCATTAAGAATATATAAAAAAAATATTAGATTATTAAGATTTTGTAAGAAATAACGAGATATCAAATAAAAATGAAAAGAATTGAAACAATTAATTTTTAATTTTATTATTTCTAAAAATAAATAACGAAGCAAATAAATAACTGAGTAAGAAATGTTATTACATATATATATATATATATATATATTTTGTGAGAGATCTCGCTCACCGCTCCCTTCTTATCCATTAGCATCCTGGAGTAACCCTGCTTCAAGGTGAGAAGGCAGTGTCGCTCAAGTGCGCGCTGAGATTCCCCTCTCGCGCAAAGCCCTATAGCGTTATTAAGCGGCTCATCGGCGAAAAAGTTCCATCTCAGATGGTGGATTGCCTCGTCATAGCGATTCTCCGGCACATCCACGATCGTGAAACAATCCTCGCTAGAAGACGACGACATGTTTTGGGTGGACGAATTTTCCGCCGCGCACTGAAAGCAATTTCCACACGCGCATCTCCTCTTAGTGAAGAAGGGTGGTCACCACCACTCGTATGAGAAATCTACCTCCTGTCTATCCCTTCCAACCCTATAATATTGATCGACCTAGTTAACTGACGAGTACACTGGGTCAGTTGTACACGCCAATTGTGCCATGTTAATTGAGAAATCAATTCATTTAAAGAGATTAATCAAAGTTAAATTAAAATAATCTGATTAATCTAATACACAATTTGCAAAACAAAATCGTCAGTTTGTATTTTAATCAATTTTTTAAAAATATTACTATTATTTGCCATGTCGCAATTTTTATGTAAATGTAAAAATTATTAGCGGATGTAATTAGTGATGTGTTTTATAGCAAATAAATTTCAATTTTAGTAAAAATTCAATTTAGTAAAAAATTATATCGATTTCAATTTAAAAATAACGAATTCATTCAAGCAGATCGTGATTAATTTTGAAATCGATTTTACTGAATAAATCAAATACAAATTGCAAGATGGCACTTGATCAATGATTCGGTATTTCCTTCTATTTAAAATATCTCTTTTATGTTCTTATAGAAATTTGAAAAGAACAGAATAAGAACGATGAAGTAAACCATAGTGATTGATAATTGGTAAAAAATTGTACAAAAATACATATATACATATTTATTATATTTATAATCGTTACTATATTATCGGATCATACAATTATCTCGCATCATAAAAGCTGAAAATAATATAAATGATGATGGAATGATTTATGTATATAGAATTAAATATTCTTTGTTATTTAGAATTAAAATATTTTTTAAAAATAATAGTGTTACTGTTGTATGCTACATGATCTACATGATATATAATTATTCATTTATACAAATTGTTGCCCAACAAATACTGTAAAATGTATTTTTTAAGAGATACACAAAAATAGTAACAGTGATTTTTTTTTAAGCGAAAAAGAGATTTCCAACGACATTCTCTAAAATGTACAAACGAGACTGTCGTAATGCCGACATAAATTGATGTTCTTTCTATTTAGATATATTAACACCTTAATATTTATAATAATATTATTTACAGTATTTAAAACAGCACATCATCGTCGCTTTCGTCGAGCAAATTTGTAGCATCCAAATTATGTCCGGCTGCAATTAATACTGCTCTTTCTGCTTCAACCTAAGCAGAAGAAAATTTAGATAATATTCAAATTATTAATTAGTAAAATATAAAATCTTCTTGAAATATGTTCTTAGAAATTATGTTAATCAATAAAAACAAAAATATTAGTAAAATTAAAAATTATTATAAATATATAATAATAGAATAAAATATTAGTAGAATAAGATCTAATTATACCTTTGCTTTGGCAATCTTCTTCTTGTCCTGAATCTTCTTCAACCGATAGAATTCTTCTCTTTCAAGCTCGTCAAGCTCTGAAATAATATAAGCTAACGTTCTCTCAATTCGTGGGATAATAACGTGCTCGATTGCATTGACACGTCGATTCGTGATCTTAATAACTTCATCCAGAGTGACAAAACTTGTTTGCAGCGACGCCAACTCTACGAGCAATTTCACTGCTCGCTGATAGTTTTTCTTCAGTTTAGCCAATTGTTGACCGCCTCTGGCCAGACCTGCTAATTCGTAAGTATCTGTCCCATCCTGATAGGATTCAAATATAGGTAGATTTACACCGGCGACATTGTCTTTCTTAGAACGGATCTTGATCTGTGCTTTCGTCACGTTTTGCAATACCACCTGATTGAAGTCTCCTGTAGCAAATTTTGCTTCGGCCAATGAAAAGGCCGCCTCTTTCATCACTTCACCCATCAAAGTTTTGGTCTAAAAATAAGAAAAGAATGATTTAAATATATATGATATATATACATATATAAATAAATAATAATATGTATAAAGTTAGATACAGTCCAATTAAAACTAAGTAACAGAATCTGATAGTGTACAATAAATAATGTACAATAAAGATATAAAATTAACAATAAAAAATTAATCATACTTCTATGATTTTTCCCAATATTAATCTGAAACGCATTTGCAGTGCATCTGCCTTCTTTTTCAGCAATCCATGTCCTTTTTGTGCTCCTTGTAAGCGAGACTTCATTAACATTTGGGCCCTAAACATACAGATTTAATAATGTGTACAATTTACAATAAATAAATACTTAATATTATTAAAACACTATAAATTTCTAAAACATACTAGTATCTTCAGTTTTCAATCGTTAAAATATATTAGCCTTTTGTACTTAAAATATATTACTATTACTATTTATAAATTTTGGATTATGTCATCAAATATACAAATTCGTAAATTACATATATTTATCATACATATTTTTGCAAAATAGGAAAATATAAAAAATATTCAATCTCATTCTTAAATGAATAATTTTGATGAATGTCTCTTAAAAAAATAATAACTGTGCAAGAAACATTTGGAAATTAATATTCTTTCCATATAAAACACATTCTAGTAAAATAAAAGAGAATTAGGATATTTAAATACAAATTCACATTCTTTTAACAGTTGAATGCTGGAGTTACACCCAGTGTAATGTTGAGGTATGTTTTAAGACGGAATTCTATTCAAGGATAAATAATGACATATAATATATAAGTGAAATCATTGAGATTTTACAATTATTAGTTTGTTAAAGTAAGAAACTTACCCCCGAGAGGGGAAAATTGGTAGTTTGTCTTTGCCCGACATTGTCGACCACTGTGCATCAGCAGACAGGAACGGGATTGATCAGCTGACATGAGAGACCGGAAATCTAGTGATTACGTTTCCAATGGCGCGTGATTTTAAAAATGAATGTGTGCATATATGTGCATAATTAAAAATCAAAGCAGTTCAAAACAAATAAAAATTAAGTAATGTAACAAATAATGCGAAAACTTTAAAACTATATTATTACTTAATCTATTTATTTATAATTAATTTAATATGATAATATAATTTATAACTTATATTTTCTTATATAATTTTGTTAGTTCATATATATACAAATTGTGCATATAATTATATATTAATATATAAATTTTAATTTAATATTCACATTCTGACATAAAATCATAAATGTAATTGGAATTGAAAGTAATTAAATATGTAAGGTGATTTTCAAATATGGGAAATATAAATCTTGTATTTTTTGTCAAAATAAATACTTTAATACTCTTATGTACAAAAAATTACAATGTAGTTTAATATAATACAATCTGCCCAGGTTTCAAAACTTGTCTTACATTCATATTAATTCTAGCTTCGGCAATGTAAATCCGTGCTTTGTGCCAATCATCCAGGTTGTACGCGGGGCTTTCGCAATTGTCTTCGTAATTATCATCCCACGGTGCTTTCGATGCTGCTAAAATCCGCGGCACCCCGTGATATCTTAGACGGGAGTTGTCTGACATTATAATTACATCTCCACTCCGCAGAAAAATAGCATTAGCCGGATCTTCCTGTTTAAGACCACCAATCAGAAAGATTGCCATCTGCCCGAAACTTATAGAAAAAAGCGGCGCAGTAATATTCATCTCCGAATGATCTATATGCCCTGCTAAAGTCGAGTTCATTCGATAATAATTTACAATCGCAGCTTCTGCTTTGAAGTCTGAGAAACCTAATGCTTTTGCCAAAACGGATGTTAGACCAGATAATTCTGTCGGCATGTTGCTTCTTGAGTTTTCAGAGTATAATTTCGTATCCCAATTATGATGATATCCTAGTGTCGCCCATCGCAACTTTGGTAGAAGAGTTTTTGTTTTCTCTGTTCTATACATAACAAATAAATATCTTAATATACATATCTCTATACACATCAAATCTTAATATGAATACAGATTTTTTTATAAACAGCTAATTAGTATAAGTATAGATTTTTGTACTAATTATCTATAATCTATATTCACTAAAAATATCATTTTTAAGAGGGGCACCTTATGTAACGCTGAAAATAAGATGATCTTGAAATTTCTTTTTAGGAAATTATACGACCAATTTTTTAAAATTTTTCAGGATATGCGATTATAATATTGAACTATTAAAAAATTTTTTTTACTAAAAAACAATGTGTATTTAAGATATAATAATAATGTTATTCCAATATAATAATAATGTTATTCCAATCGTTGAAGTCGCCTGTCGGCAATGTAGCGCTTGTATTCATCTAAAATAAAAAAAAATCAAAACGATTTCTTTTTTTAGGGTTTACATTACCAAACAATACAAATTATTCAAAAGAGAGACATAAAACGGCTTTGGTGTCTAAAAGAAGAGTTGGAGTTTGTTTGTGTGTGTGTGTGTGTATGTGTGTGGATAATAATTATGCCTTTTGTACTTGCAGAACTTAATTTTCTTGCTGAAGCACTCATTCCTTCCATTGAATCTTTAGTAAAATTGATTGCCCTTGCAAATCTTCTTTTTCATGGCTTATTCAGACAATAAGTATTCTCTTTACTTACTTTGGAGATATCTTTACACTATTGTATTTCGTTCGAAATTCGAAAAATAAAACTGTGCTTCAAAAATGGAACTGTTTCAAAATAATTTTACCTATACTAAGGAACATGAATGTACGCACTATAATATTTCTACAAAAGAAATATTCTAGTTATGTTCAAAGGGTTGACAGAGGAGACGCACCACGTGCTTAGCGCTTGACGGTCAGCAATAAAATTGTCTATAACTATGTTAATTCTTCAAATTTCGTTTTAAAATTCAAAGAACATATTTTTTATGGAATATACTATTAAATTATGCTAAAAAAATTGATTTTTTTTTATTTGTTACATGAGGTGCCTCCCTTAATCTAAATTCTATTATACAAAAAAATAACATCAAACAAATATTAATTTAATCATTCTCTTACTGAAAACATATGTCCCACCATGTTTCATTATTTAAAACGTTATGAGCATCTATATTCAACTTGTATGGTTCCTTAGAGTAATCTTTCAAGCATTTTGTAATCCAGTATCGTTGGCCATTTGGTGTAAATGGATTCTGAATAAAGATAAGACCTGAAAGTGTTAAAATAAGTAAATAGACGAGGATGAGCAAATATATAGAGTTAAATTAATTACAATTTCCTACAAAAATTAGCTACAATAAATAACGTATTTAAAAGTGATATTATATAAGCAAAAAATTAAACAAGTCTTGATATAACATTCCGAAAAAGAGAAGCAATATTATTTTTTATATGGAATTATTTAAGAATAATTTTAATCATTATTGTTATTTCATAGAAAATTTACGTACCAGGAATATCCAGCAATTCATAAATGTTCCATTTTTTCGCCGATTTAAGGCCAAAATTGTTCTCGATCTGTTCGCCAGTTATGTGTACCTCAATCTTTTTAACCTAAAAACGACATTCGTGTTAATTTTCGAAAGGACATACGAATGGTGATATCACATACTTCGATGCAATCTAGACTTTCAAAATCGATCACGTTGCTGAAATCCGGTGCAGGATTCCGGCTCTTGTAATATTTGAAACTATCCCGAAACATCTTTCATCAATCATGCAGGCTGCCATGTTTTTTTCATACTTTGTTGATGTTATGCGAGATGGCGTTGTCGTTAAATTTTAACACACTATTTCAAATACGCGGGATATATTAAAACAGATTGAAATTGCATTGAAATCATATCAAAAAAGTCGAAAAAATATACATATATAGAAATTATGCAAGTAGTATAACGCTTATATTTTATGTAATATATAAAAACTATATATTCTATACAATTACAAGTATTGTACAAAAAAATCAATGAATAAAAGATTCGCATAAATAAAATAGGCATAAACACTTTGTTTAAATATCGAAGTCAATCGAGATAACAAAATATAATATAAATATAGGATTATATTTTAGAATCTGATAAAATTTTGATTGTTGTTGTAAATTCTAGGATAATTTTCTTGTAAACTGGGCGTGTTGAACATGTATATTCGCGGATATATCATATCTGACTAAGAGCAGAAAAACGTGCTCGAACCAGGTGGACACGTAAACTACACATCACCCACTATTATTACTCAATATACTTTGCATATCTTCATCAAGCTGGGAGATTACATCGAGAAAGTACAGAGATTTTTCTCGCAGTGGTATATTCAAAGTGGTATATTCAAAGAGATCTTATGAGTCAACATTTAGAAGCTTCTTCATCAAGTTTCCTTAATCACAAAAGAAAAAAATGAATAATAAATCTATCTTATAAGTTACATAATATAATTTATTTATATTATACTTATATTTCTAAAAATGAACAAATGATATATAATTTCCAATATATATATATAAAACTCTTTATCCTGCTCGCTTTTAATTAAATTAGTATATAAATATACTAAAATAATTTCACTTAGAAATTAATGTCCTTTAAAAATGTTATTCGTCATTTAGTGTATACGTATATGTAATGTAATTTGTATTATATTATTTACAGGTTTATTTAAGCAAATGATATCAAAAGTAATGGTATTACAAAAGATTGATAAATAATTAATAAGAAATTAATACATTATTTGCTTTATTTAAATAATGTATTTATTAAAAAAATATTGGTTTATTATATAAAATATTAAATGAATTATAATTCAACATGAGAGAGGGAGAAAGAGAGAGAGAGAGAGAGAGAGAAAAAGAGAGAGATTAAACTAAAATTAAATTATTTATAAATAATAAGTACGACGAAATTTATAAAAAAACTTCAGGAGTTATAAGTTATTAATTAACATTAATTCTAATTAATTTAATTAGATTTGCAAAATTTTGAACTATATGATTTATTACTTTTAATCTATGATATCTATGTGTTAAAAATAAGAAGAATTAACTCGATAAATTAATTGTCAACTAAATTAATTGTTAACTGTCCATTTCTACCAATTTAATTTTAATCTCTGTTTAACTGTTACTTCTTATTTTTTTTTAACTTCGAAAATGAGAAAAAGATAAAGAGTAAATTAAAGCTAAGTTTAAAGTTAATCTTTTCATTGATGGAAATGGACATAAATGGACATATTGATCAAAGTTTGATCGAAGTCATCTTAAATCCATCTCTTGTTCTCACGGCGCGTACAATAATTGTCTGTGACTAATTTTAGCGCGCGATTTTCGCATAATGCGGCATTACTGAGGAACGGGCTGAGCGTGATTTCATAGGATAGTTGCGAGCAGGGCAGGGCACTGTGCAGCAGCGCCTCTCAAGGCTTTTCGAAAGCCTCTATCGCGAGTAAATTAATAGACTCGGTAGGCCGCGATAATAATGATCGTCCATTACCGTCGCGCTTCTATTCGCCATAAATCTCGCCTACCCACCCAACCTGACCACACGCTAAATCTGTGTTGTTCACCCGCACACCTGCGACGATCGCCGTGATATATTCGATCCTGTTCGATCGACCTATAATCATTGTTGCGATCAAAAAAAGAAGTCAACGATCGCAAAAATTGTTATTAATTGACAAAAAGAAAATTAATTGCAATACGCGGCAAAAGAATTAATTATAGAATAAATTAAAGAGATCACAGAAAAAGTTATTAATTAAGTTATCAATTAATAAAAATTCACGAGAATTAATTTCTGTACATTCATCAAATCATTAAACGTTTTTATTTTTCAAAAAAATTTTAACTTCCCATTTTTTATTTGTCCATCTGTGTTTTATTTAACGCATGCGCATTGTCTGAAATTAAATATATTCTCTGTGAAACGCTAATTATATTTGTTTTAATTGTAAACGCTGCAGCTGTAATTATTATCAAGCAATTTTGAATTCTATAAATTAGGACATGAAGTTCACGTAAATACTTTTCAAAAAGTTTGTTTATCTATTTTTCTTCGAGTTGAATCAGTAAAAATCTAAAAATCTTTCGTATTATCAGGAGATTAAGGTTTCTATGTGTTTTATTTAACGCTTTGTTTGAAATTAAACCTATTCTCTATGGAATACACACTAATAACATCTTCATTAATTGTATTACAACGAAGTATTATAACGAAGTATTATAACAAAGCTGTAATTAACGTAATATTAAGGTTTTTAATTTTGTAAATTAGAATGTAAAGTAAATATTTTTCACAAAACTTGTTCGTTCTATTTTTCTTCGCGAGATGGTCATTCATCATTAACTGTGTTTCCACATCATTTTATTTGTCTATTTTTTTCCAAGCAGCTGTGGGAGCCGCGTCAGCAAAAATTTACAAATCCTTCATGTTGTCAGGAGACTGACGTTTCTGGCAGAATAGAGCGCTCTAGGAATGCTAGAGAGGAGCGCGACACGCACGCGGATCGAATGTGCCGGCGTGGCGCAGTAAGGGAGCGGTGCGCGTACTCTCCCTGACAGTTTCATGTCAACAAATGTCGCGACCGAGGCGTCGCGCCCAGTCAGCCTGCCAGCCTGCCAGCCAGCCAGCCAGCTCCGGCGGCCCTCCTTGGCAGGGACGAAAAGGGCCGCGGGGTCGCCGGCGCGTATTCGCGGAGTCGCTGTGCGACCAATCGCGGCGTTGCTCGACGTCACCGCTGGCCAATCGGCGCACGCCGCGGTGACGACGCGGGCTAAATATAGCCGGTATATATCTAGGCCGGTCGCGACCGCGAATTATCCACAGTCGCGCGCCGGCGGCCGACGGAGGAGGTTAAGTGGATGTTATCTTGAACGGCGAGCGGATTTAAGTGCGTGCGCAGTGCGCGAAGTGCGAACACGGCTTCCGGATACGGGAAGGTAGGAATCCGATACGCAGTGTATCGCACTTTTAAAATTGAAATGTCTATCCCTTTCTTCTAATCTGTAAAATAAATGCAATAAAACTTCCGTCGCAATAAACCGATTGCGAGAGGAGGTAACTGCCGAAGGAAGAAAAATTATTCTCGCGTCGAATTTGGAGCACGTGTTTGCCATAATAAACACGATTCTGTTCGCAATAAACACAGTTATAAATTCTCAGATCGTGACTGAAATTGATGGACAGATTGCGAATTGTTTCGCGACTTTGGCCAGATTTGGTCGAAGTGCGCTTCGAGAGCGGCGTGAAGTGCGCAACGTACGGCGTGACGTTGCGCACGCGAAACGATCGAAGTGCGCGTGTTCGATAACATCGCGCGATCCGTTTAACGTAATCGTAACCTATCTATGTTTTTTTTTTCGATTTCTTAATATTATCGGAAACTCTAGTCTTTCTCTAATTTTGCATAGAAATATAGAAAGATGCCGAGATCTATTACTACAATCTTGGCTGTGTCATATACAACATCCTTATTACATTTTCTTGGATAAGTTGGTAATAAAAGCTAAAAGAAGACTTACAAAATATATTGAAATTGTTTATAAAAATAAATATTATTTTTTAATAAAATTGTTTTTCTTCATTATATGTAAAATATTTACATCAATTTGTGGGAATAAATTATATTATATATAATTATACTATACATTGAAAAAAATGTATTAAATCTTGTACCATATTTCTTTGAATAGTGTTTACAATAAATATTTATTTAGAACTATTCAAACAAATATTTATTAAAATTTAGTATTCTTTTTCAGTGTACATACATATTGTGTGTGTGTGTATATATATATATATATATATATATATATTATATGCAATATATTTACTATAATATATTATTGTCGAAGGAGTGTTTTCATAAAAAGTAAGTAAATGAAACTTGCAACTTTAAGTACGACAAACAGATGTATTAATAATTTTTAAAATCGGCTTACGAGATGTCGAGATCAAAGTCGCATTCGATATATCGAGGGCATTACGCGAGATCGAAGGGAGATTGCGGCAGTATGTTACGTCTTGACGTTATATCTGATAAGGTTATTACGTGTCGGATTGACATAATATCTTGTACTTAGTTTTACAGTCACGCTTGATCAGCCGCGATCAAGCGCGATCAATTCTTCTCACGAAGAATTTTTCGATATTGCGGCTACACGTAAGATTCAAATCGCGACATCGCGATGCTCTAAAGTTAGACGTTAGACCAATCGCAAGCGCGATTTGGATTGATTTACGTGGGTTTTATAGTCACGGACTCGCAATTGCTCAAGGTCGCGACGCCACGAAGTACAACTTCGCTGCCATCATAGTTGCAATGTTGCCACAAGAGCTCGGGGGAATATATGTTAAATGCGCCTCGTGTATACTCGCTCTTATTCGCTGAGAAAACATTTGACGTACGAGAGAGAGGGAGGATTTAAAACTTGTTTGTTTCATTCGATGTATGTTTTAGAAGCGTTTACTCAGGTATCTGTTCGTATTTTAAACATTTCATAATGCCATTCATTAATTATTATAATTGAAGTGTTAACTATTTTAAATAATTTTTTTAATGAATATTACGTACGTAAATCATAATAAATAAACATATTCTTGTAATAAATATTATTGTTGACTTTTCGTAATTATTATCGCATTGTACACATTGCTAATATTCTTCTTTATTCTTCTTTTAAATCTTTTAATTTTGATATTGAAGATTAATAATGACAAATTCGGATTATTTCAGAGAATA